ATCCATCGACTTCCTGCATGTGTTACCAGGTCGTCACTCCATCTAGTGGGGGGACGGCCTACACTTCACCTGCCGGTACAAGGCTGCCACTCGAGAATCTTTTTTCCTTAACGGTTGTCGGTTATTTGAGCTATATGGCCGGTCCATTGCAACTTCAGCTTACTAATCCGTTGGGCTATGTCGGTCACTCTGGTTCTACTGTAGATATATCCTACCTTATCCTCATTTCTAAGTTTATCACGCAGATAAACCCCGAGCATAGCCCTCTCTATAGCTCGCTGAGCGACTTTGTACTTCCTTATACGGCCAGCAGTGAAGGACCACGTCTCAGATCCGTAAGTCATCACTGGCAACACGCACTGGTAGTACAATCTCGTTTTCAAGGTTTGAAGTATACTTGACAAGAAGATATATCATAATTTCCCGAATGCTGCCCAGCCGAGTTGAATCCGTCGATTGACCTCTCGGTCGAAGTTGGACTAACCTAGTCGGACTATTTGTCCCAGGTAAAAATACTCGTCAACAACTTCGAGCTTAGTGCTCCCAACAAATACCAGCATAGTTGTGACATGGAAGTTACACATGATCTTCGTTTTGTCCATGTTGATCTTAAGACCTATCCGTTGGGAGGCACTATTGAGGTCACTGAGCATAGTGCTTAGATCCTCCAGCGATTCGGCCTTAAGAACTATATCGTCGACAAATTGTGATGTACTCGCCATTGATGTTTATACCGTATCCATTCCAGTCCAGTAGCTTGAAAACTTACCAACTGTAGCACCGCCCAAATTTCAAAGGAATCAAAGGCTTTCTCATAGTCCACATACGCAAAACATAGTGGCAAATTGTACTCCTCAGTCTTCTGTACAATTTTCCGAAGGGAATGTATGTGGTATATGGTGCTAAAGTCTTTTCGAGAACTGGCTTGTTCGTGAGTTTGGAAGTCGTCGAGTCTGCGTGCGGGAGGATTCGTAATGACTCTCGAAAACAGCACCTAGACGGACGCGGCTCAGAAGGGAAATCGGTCTGTAGTTCTTCAAAAGAGCGTTGTCGTCTTTCTTGAAGAACAAGACCGCCGCACTTCTGATCCACGCTTCCGTAAGTAATCCCACCATAGAGGACGGAATTAAAGAGCTTCTGAAGGGTTTCAAGTACCGGTATTCCACCCGCTTTCAGAAGCTTCGCTGTAATACCTCGTCAGGGACTTTGCCGTTTTAAGGTGCTGGAGAGCCATTTTAATCTCACCTAGACTGAGGTCTGGGATATCATCGGAATAGAGTCGGATAAGACTTGCTCTTGGATCGTTACTCACACTTGCTTGAGGCTACAACGATTATGTGTACGTATGTCCCTAGAACCTATCAATATCACTCAAAATTTCAGATGTCCCGGAAACTATGCTACCACTTGGGTCTTCAGTCCTCAGCTTCAACAGTTAGCTCGCAAACAGATATATGGCAAAGGCTTTGGAGTCCTGTTACGTAATTCCCGCCGCATGCATTTGGAGATCTGTCTGTTCAATTGCCTGTATGCTGTCAAATCCACTGTAGACTCCAGCTTCATTTCCCGTCTAACAACAATGAGATTAAGAGCGTGATTTGAGAGTTTTTGTGTTATTCTGCGACAGGTCTTGCACAACTTAGCGCAGATCTCATGGAAAGTTGCCTCGAGCTTGTCATTCATGTCGTCCACTGCATTGCAGTCTTTTAGGCACTGAAAACGGTTTTGTAAGTCGAGCTGAAAGTTTTCGGGACTTTGAATTAGAGCACGAGGGGCACGGAGCATTGACTTCATTAGACGCAACCTTTCCAACTTAACGTTTAGGTTCAGTGTGCCTCTAACCATTCGTTGATCGCTGCCAGTTTTCACCCTTGCGATCACTGAGACATCACTGAACTGTCATAATGAAGTCAATTGCATTTTTTGTCACACCGTCGGGGCTTGTCCAGGTCAACTTTCTGTTGGGACTCTTCTGGAAGAAGGAGTTCATCATAAAGTAAGTAATCCTATAATATCTCAGCGCAACTTGTCTATCTCTTCTTCCAGTTCCAGGATCTTCTCGTCAGTCCTCCTGAGGACCTACGTACTACACGTACCCTGGTAAGTGCGTTAAATATTGCCAGGTCGTATTACGTGGCACCCAAATTCCACCGGATATTTTTAGCACTACCTGCTCCATCGCTACCATGGTCGCTACCGTAGCCAGGAATAGGAGGACAAATGCTGGCAACTTATTACACTCCTTTGCTGTACGCATGATGAACAACGTAGCGAACCGTTTGGTTCGAATGCGTGGTAAGTCAACAACGAACTGGCCGAACGTCTGGTTGTCCGATGGTGGAAGGGAGAGGGAGGAATTCAATTATGCAATTCCTGCGCACACTCTCCGAAATCTATCCTGTAGAAAACCGAAAGACTGGCTACTTTGCGTCTGTGTTCGAGGCTGGTAAGAATGGTTTTAACCAAATTCGGGTCACCAATAAGCTTCTTAGCACACCTTTCCATTGAGTCTAAAGCAGCTATGTAGCATTTTGCAGCACCAGCCCATATATGGCAGCAATTCTCCATGCACGACCGGACTTGCGCTTTATATAAAGTATGCAGCTGTCCCGGCATGAAGTATCGCCGCCCCTTTGCAAGGACTCCCAGCTTCCTTGCAGCTACTTGTGCCTTGGACTTAATGAACCGCCCAAACTTCAGATTTGAGGATATCTCAAAGCCTAACAACTGAAGGAGTCGGTATATTGAAGTGATACATTTCGGAAAGAAGGAGCCAAGGTGAGCTGGCTCCTTTTTGCAGTGAAGAGACACGCTTGTGTTTTAGAGGCGTTGAATTTCACAAGATTGGCATCGCACCATTCGGAGACTGCTGTAGTGTGAGATTCACACGCTCTACCATAGCTTCTCTTTCGGACTGGATTTGATCCCGACTGGCTCGAGGATTTGGTTGGTATTTCTCAACAACTGTGCTATCGTCTGCATACCCATAGATACCGGGCACAAGCAGATCATTAATATGCAGCAAGAAGAGAGTTGCAAAGAGAACGGACCCCTGAGGAACACCAGCGTTAGTCGCCATAGGATCGGATGAGCAGCCATCGACAACGACCTGGAGAGAAAGTCCTTTACCCATTCAATCAGATCAGGGGATAAGCCGTACGCTGGGAGCTTACCCAAAAGGCTATTGTGCCAAACTCTATCAAAGACCTTCGAGACATTAAGGGAAACAGTAAGTGCTTCCCCACTGTTCTCCATTTAAAGCCTAAAGAGTCGCTGCGACAAAAATTTAAGGAAAGGCAGCAATTTGATATATTAACTTTGGCCTCTCAATATATTTATGAAAATGTAGTTTTACAAAAATATTCATTCTGTAAATACTAGGAACAGACACAAGCTAGTAGCACCAGTTACTCGATTCCACCGAGTCAGTAATTCATTCTTGGGGCGATGTATACGGTTTTACAACAAAATACCAGAAAATATACAAAATTTGACGTGCTCAAAGTTCAAAAACTTTATAACAAATTTTGTATAAAAAGGATTAATATAATATTTAAAAAAAATACTAGTAATGCTATTAAACATTACTAATATTTCCTTTAACCACTTCTGGTAAGCTTAAAATGCTTGCGTTACAAGTGGTTCACGACAGTAGTCGAATGGTGGATTCGAACCCACGACCTTTCGAGTTCGTGCTCCGCACCCTGCCATTAGACTACTGACGCTTATTATTATAATATTAAGGCATTTATGGATGATAATAACCCATGGGAATGAGGTGATCGCTACCAAACTATTTCTAATTTGTGTTGTGTTGTTAATTGTGTAACATACATGATTGTAAGCTGTTATTAAAAAAGTCCTGAGGTTTTTTTTCGAACCAGTGGTAATTAAACAAAAGAGTGACTTTCAATAAGTATTATTTATAACCTATATTGAATAAAAAAGTTTCTGTCTCTATTTAATGTGTAATATATTGCAGCAAAGATGCACAGATAGATACAAAGATATTGCGCAAAAATATGTTCTAGTTTTATCAAGATATTTACAATAACAATTAGTCGGAACATAAGTGTTATGTTTTGTGGATGTCCCACCATTGCATGTTATTTTTGTTTTAAATGCAGTAAAATTTAATTAACAGATTAGAGCGGTAGTTTGCGCAACTATTGAACTGCAAGTCAGCACCCAGCCGCAACAAGAGTGCGGTAAATAACACGTATCTTTAATTTATTGTTAGTGTTATAATTATTTAAGTAATACATACATACATAGTTTTCGGGGCATATTTTAGCTGTAAAAGGCGAAAATTTTAGTCATAATTGAGCAACATTATTTATGTACTTATTCAAAGTTATCCAAACAATGTTTTTTATAATACTACCCGTATTATAAAACTTTGAACCGTTCAATGTTACCCAAATTACTTCGATTTTGATCGTCTTCAAAACTTCATCAGTTTTACATAATATGTAACATCAAAATCGAGTAATGATTTGAAAAAAATAAAATATAAACTACATTTTAAAGATAAACACCAAACATACCTATGTACAATAAGTTTAGTATATTTAATTACGATTTCAAATCAGAGCAAAAAACATTTCCAATAACTTCACTACGGAAAAGGCGGGAAATTTTCAAAATTATGTATTTGACAGTTTATTTTTTTACTCTTCGTTTGCTACAAAACATTTTGGCTATCCATTTTTCGCAGTTACGATATTGAAACAACAAAAAATTTCCTTATTATAATTAAATAACCTTTTTCGCAACTTTGTTCAAAGTTAAACCGCAATTCAAAGTTACCCAAAACGACTGTAATACTTTAATATTTAATTATAATGATGGTGTTATCATCGCCGCCCCTGACTTCCACACCTTTGACTCTGCCCCCTGACACCAGACTGATCTATACCGATGCGAGAGTGGTTATTGATATGGTTTATTGGAAATACATATGTCCAGCTTTAAAGGTTACTGTCACGTATATGTCTTACTTGTAGAATTCCTCCTCTTTTTTCTCTTCAGCACGAAGGCGCCAATAGCGCTGCAGGTTAGGGCTGGGCTGAACAATTTCTTCGATCTCACTTAAATACTCAGCTTGTTTCTCATGCCAAGACTTCTTCAAATCTTCACAAGTCACTGGAATAAAATTTATATGGATAACAGCAAACGAACTCTAATTCCACTTTCCTGAGTAGAGCTGTGAATTTCGGCTTGGGCCTGTACGACTTGGCCCTAGAGGGAAATAATAAGAGAAGCGGCAAAATTAAAAAAAAGTGACACTTATTAACCAATTTGCTTCTCTGAATATTTCTTATGGCAAGTATGAGAATGCATGAACCACTAGTTGGTCCTTATTTTATGCTTAAGAGCCTTCTATACCAACCTCTTACCTATTAACAATGGTCCATCCAGGAATCAAAAAAATTACATTAACAATGGTCCGGTCAGGAGTTAATAAAATTACATTAACCAAGGTCCGGTCAGGAGTCAATAAAATTACATTAACAATAGTCCGGTCAGGAGTCAATAATATCACATTAATAATGGTCCGGTCAGGAGTCAATAAAATTACATTAACCATGGTACGGTCAAGAGTTAATAAAATTACATTAATAATGGTCCGGTCAGGAGTCAATAAAATTACATTAACAATAGTCCGGTCAGGAGTCAATAATATCACATTAATAATGGTCCGGTCAGGAGTCAATAAAATTACATTAACCATGGTACGGTCAAGAGTTAATAAAATTACATTAATAATGGTCCGGTCAGGAGTCAATAAAATTACATTAACAATAGTCCGGTCAGGAGTCAATAATATCACATTAATAATGGTCCGGTCAGGAGTCAATAAAATTACATTAACCATGGTACGGTCAAGAGTTAATAAAATTACATTAATAATGGTCCGGTCAGGAGTCAATAAAATTACATTAACAATAGTCCGGTCAGGAGTCAATAATATCACATTAATAATGGTCCGGTCAGGAGTCAATAAAATTACATTAACCATGGTACGGTCAAGAGTCAATAAAATTACATTAACAATAGTCCGGTCAGGAGTCAATAATATCACATTAATAATGGTCCGGTCAGGAGTCAATAAAATTTCATTAATAATGGTCCGGTTAGGAGTCAATAAAATTACAGGCTGTTAGGAATTTTATTTTTGGACCCATTGACACCTACAGACTATACTTACCAACAGGTTTACTTATCTATATACAATATGTAACAAAAACCCTGTGGTTCCTGTTAAGTACGCTATCAGGATCATTATTCAAACGTATAGAAATAACTTTTTTTTAAACTCGAACAATGCTTTTCAAAATTAAAAAAAAAATAATTGTATGCCAATTTTTTTTTTATAGGATAAGGGTGACAAACGAGCACACAGTCCACCTGATGGTAAGTGGTTGCTGTGGCCCATAGACATCTACATTTAGCCTCAATTACGAATCAAAATGCAGATGCGTTGTCACCCGTGAGGACTAAGGTGGAATGCCTCGTTTCCAGTAAAAAGGGTCTCCGGTTCTCTACACTCACCATACGAAACACAGCAGCATTAAGCTGCTATTTTACGCTGGTATTCTGTGAGAGCGTGGTCCTTCCCCGGTCGAGCCGACCCATTCGTGTTACAACTATACCAGAAATATAGCTGCAGCATGGCTCTACCACGTACAAAATGTATGTGGTTTTACCTCTGCATTGTCTGGGGAGTAAGAGGATTGTCAAAGACCCCGCTTTACTTAGCTTTAGCATCGGCTAGTGTCAGTAAGAGGTAATTAAAATACATACAATATAAAAAAAATAAAAAAAAATATGGTCGAGTTTTTAAAAAAAAATACATATTTCTATAGGTTTGAATACTGATCCTGATAACGTACTTAACGGGAACCACGGGGTTTTTGTTACATGTTGTATATCAGAAAGCTTTGTAAGAGAATAAGCAAGAGAATCCAGCAATCCATTTCACCTCGTGACTGGCGTAAGATGCAACTATGGGATGCCAAAAAGGTCATAAGAATTTTGAAGAGACCATCAGAAATTTATGAAATAAAGATTGTTCGAAACGGTTTAATAATACTAAGGTATACATGAATGATAACAAGTAAGAACATTTGTAAATGAGATGATCCCTACATAATTAAAAATTAAAAATTTTGTACAACCGACTTTAACTAAACTATTAAGAATAACTCAAAAACTATTGGTCAGACCTAGATCGAATTTATATGGGACCACATGTGAAGCACCAACTTTCAAATAAAAAAAGAATCATCGAAATCGGTTTACCCAGTAAAAACTTATGAGGTAACAAACATAAAAAAAAAAACATACAATCGAATTGAGTATCGTCTCCTTTTTGAAGTCGGTAGAAAACCATTTCTACTATGGGTTGTGAACTTAATTGTATAGTTTAATGGTATCTACCCAATACGGCAAATATAAGTGGCGGAGCCACGCTGCAGCTTTATTATCATTGTAGCACAAATGGTTTGGCTCGCCCGGTACATAAAAAAGCAGCTCAATGCTGCTGTTTCGCATGGTACAACATGATGCCCTTTTTATGGAAACGAGGCGTTCCGTCTTCGTCCTAAGTGGTGTTGGTGCAGATGTATTCTGTTTGTTAATTGAGGTTAGATGTAGATGTCTATGGGCTACAGCCTCCATTTACCATCAAGTGGAGTGTGTGTTCGTTTGTCATTTTTATTCTATAAAGAAATGTGACAAAATTTGCCAAAAATGTTATCACATTTCTTATACAATATTATATAATATTTATTTATAAGATTGATGATACACCTTCATCAGTGTCACTCCGCACAGACTTCTGGCGTGGACTTCGCGCCTTTGTTGTGATTGTAGGTTTGGCCCGACTTTGAATATCATCAGCGAGCTGATTCTTGAGGTCTTCGTACATCCTTTTGAATAGTACGTAAAATAAGTTCTGTTATTAAATATTAATACTAAATTGTTAGAATTCCAGTTATTAAAAAGATTCTTACGGTGTATTAATTAATCAATACCTAATCAATCTAATCATCATCATTATTACAGACCATCACAAATTCTCTACTGAACATCAGACTTCTCCATAAAATGCAAGAAGCATGGCATGTTTCATCAAGTCATTACTTTAATTATAGGAGGGATTCACACGATACTGCGCTTGACGGGGAAGATTATACTCGAAAACCTTTTTACTTCAAGTATATCACTTTGTGCAATATCAGTCACCGTTTTCCTGCTGCTTACGTCTTTTTAACAGGTTTTATCACGCGGAGAATACCTATAAGATGTTGAGCTTCTACATGCGGCCTGCAAGGAAGAACCACGTCTGGATTCCGTAAGTTGTTACTTAACACCGAACGAGAAGACAGAAAAAATAAATTTAGTAACCTCCTTTTAATTATATAGCCACAGCGTAGTGGAGGTGAAAGAACCATTTCCCCATACATAGACATTATGAATATTAGATATAGATAGACTTTCAATATGTCAGACCTATGCGCGATATCTTGCAACTTTTGATCGGCGCGTCTCTCTTCTGCCGTGCGAGGATCTCTAATCGGAACTTCCAGGATTTTCTGACACTCCGACTCCATCAAACGACGATATCGAAGCACTGCCCCCACCAACTCCTTGGCACCTTTTAGTTTCCCTCTCGTCTCCTCACTCCATTGTTGTTCTAAGGTTCTTAGGCACCGAAGAAAACATAATTATTTTAAAATATAATATGTTGTGTTATTAGCAAGACAAGCGTGTCCTTCTTACGTGGCAATATTGGGGAACAAGATATTATTATAATTCCAATATTACAATTTTAATAACAAATTTAATATTTTAGATTACAATATAAAAGAAAGTCTAATGCGACAATGAGCACAGCAACGTCAAACGTTCCAAGTGTCTGGTACTGAGATCTTCAATCCGTCTGCCAAGCGTGAAACAAACCATTCCTACATCGGTCAGCAGCCTGAAGATGATGAAGAAATACCAAAATAATGTTTCAGACATGATCTATCCACACAAAGGCTCTAACAAGTCATCTTCTGCCTTTACATCTTTTATGTGAAGCTTTTGTGTTAAATTGACGTGTCTTACTTCGTCTTCAAACTAAGGATGCTCTTAATAAGTGCCCCTCCTAATAAGTGACATAGGTGATGGTGGTGTTTAGTTAAGTTGTTTGGTGGTGATTTGGTGACATTTAGTAGTCAGACAACGCAGTCTGCTTTACCTGAGAATGCCTCGTTTAGAGGCGAAACACATGTTATCGTCAGTGGTGTGTCTTTGCTAGTGTAGTGGTGTAGGGAGTAGTGGTGTTGGGATTAGTGGTAACGGGGATAGTGCACACAATTCAGGGAGGGCGGGAGGTACTCTTTAAACTAGTTTTATTTTATTACGCGGATCTTACCTAATTCATTTTTAACAACTTTTATAGATTGTGATTGTAAATGATTAATTTGTCAGTGATATTGTAAAAACATTTTATAACACTATTATTAATCAAATATAATTTCAATGTACCCAGTACCTATGCCTACTGATTATGAAATTAATTTTGTTATAGTTGTAATAGACAAATCAACGAGCCTTTAGCGGTATTATAATCTACAGTCTGGCCCAAGTCTTCAGAAATATGAATAAATAAATATGTTTTACATAGGTACTACGTCTCCATAGAGATCCAATACCAAACCCTTTCCAAGCCCCCTAAACCTCAGAGGACAAATTATGTTCTTCTGTTAGGACTCCCAATCATCTGACCAACTCATTCTTCCTTACCAATTAACTCATTGGAAATCAAGAGGTTGATTGAGGGTTTACGTAGTGATAGTACGCCGTTTTGCGGTTGACGGATGTCTATTTTTTATAGGATAGGATGACAAACTAGCACACAGTCCATCTGATGGTAAGTGGTTGCTGTAGCCCATAGACATCTACATCTATCCTTGTTTGCGAATCAAAATGTAGGTGCGTTGTCACCCGTGAGGACTAAGATGGAATGCCTCTTTTGAAGTAAAAAGGGTCTCCGGTTCTCTACGCTCACCATACTAAACACAGCATCTGTTTTAAGCTGCTATTTTACGCTGGTATTCTGTGAGAGCGTGGTCCTTCCCCGGTCGAGCCGACACATTCGTGCTACAACTATACTACTAATATAGCTGCAGCATGGTTCTACCACGTATAAGTGTACCTCACTTCTTATCAAATCTATTAAAAAGACAATTCTAATTTCTCATACTCATATTTTTAACCTAAGTCAATAATTCGGATGCTTACATGCCTTTATCGCTTCTCACAATCTTTTCGAAGCTTCTAGAGAAATAAAAAATAAAAAATATTATCCCTCTCTTGAATATCGACAGTATATCGAGAAAGTGAAGCTAGTTTCTGATCAGTTCTGATGAGTCAGTTTAGGTTTAAGGTGGGGAAGTCCACTGCGGATGTTGTTAATCTACTGATAAATCAAATTTCATCGAACGTGAAGTGTGGTAAATGAAGCCTTGATATTTTTCTTGAAATATCGAAGGCCTTAGAAACAGTGTCTAGACAAATACTGTTGACGTAGCTTGAAGGTTTTGGAATCTGAGGCAATGCATGGAATTGGTGTCAAAATTATTACCAATCGATATCAAAGTGTGAGAATAGGACCTCATCACACAAGTTTCCAGCTCCTGGTCATATGTGGGGTGCCTCAGAACAGTATTCTTGGGCCACCCCTTTTTCTTCTGTATATTAATGACATTCTGGAACTAAACACTCCTCACACTGAAATAATTTGTTATGCAGATATCGTTGTCTTAACTCATTGTAAGTAAATTAAATTTATTTTATTAACTAGCTGGCCCGGCAGACGTTATTCTGCCTTTAATGATTGGTGGCATAATGAGTTTTATTTTCACACACACAAACTTTTCTATAGATTTATTATATTTATAGCTAAACCTCTATATCGACTAATAGAACCATTAGCAACCATATTGACAATAAACTTAAAAAAAGGAAAAACCTAATCCCTTCTCTTTACTCTTCCGTAAGCGGATAAAAAGTTGCACACGGTCATTTACTGCCTATATAAAAAAATTCATGGAAATTTTTTCGGTAGTTTTCGCGTGAATCGGTAACACACAATTTTTCTACAGATTTATTATTTGTAGGTATGGGTAACTATTACAAGAAAATAAATGTATATTATTCAATAGCATTTACAAGTTCCAATGCATAAATAAACTCATAGGCACTCCTGCATAGGAGTTCTGAAATAATCAATCACTAAACGGCAAGTTTATTCGTTAATGTTATTAATTTCAGTTCGAATAGTTTCTTTTAAGTCATCATTAGATTTTGGTTTTTAATAATCTATAGAAATAAATAAAATTTAAGTGTCTGTTTGTAATGTTAAAATAACAGCTTTTTACTAAATGCATGTGAATGTAAATACGGTACTTATAACATAAACACAAATTTAAAAATTCTTGTCTGTCTGTCTGTCGGTTTATTCCGGCTAATCTCCGAAACGGCTGGACCGATTTCGACGGGACGTTCACTGCTAAATAGCTGATGTTCTAAAGAGTAACTTAAGCTTAACTTAACTTACATTCAAGCAAAAGAATTAGGGTACTGAGCAATATAATTAAAACCCTAAATTACACGCAAGCGAAGTCGCGGAGAACAGCTAGTATATAATATGTTCTTACCTATTTCTGCCTAACTTCAGTTTAATTTAAAAAAAATTCATTATATTGACGCCACGCAAACTACGCCGAATCGTGATGATACTACTCGAGTATACAAATGGTGTGCCCCACTCCAATGATAAGCTCCATAGCAAAAAATCCCCTAGAGATCAATCTCTGTGTTAGTATCACACGCATCCCCTTACGCGCTACTTTCAATTTGAAATTAGGTACCCAGTAGGTACGTGTAAGGGGATGGGGATACAAAGTTCCCTACAACGTGCCGTGTGTTGGCGGTATAAGACATCTCATAACGAGAATGTCTTATGAGTCGAAGGTAGAAAAGCCGGAAAATCTTTAAGGCTTCTTCTAGATGTTGGTGTTATAAATAGTATTCCATTTACGCTAGACAAAATAATCAGACCCGCGAGAAGATGCGGCGCCGAAGTTGCGAAACGTCTGGTACCGCAACTCGCCAACCCACCTGACAAAGCGTGGCGATTATAGAAAATCCTTTTATGGGCTAATGAGAAGCTACACATAAATCCGGAAAAGACAAAAGATGACTTCTTGCCTTTGTATAAATAGTTTATGCAGTACGCAGGCAAAAGAAAAAAAAATATAGTTGTAGTAAAATAATTACAGCCCTTTATGTGTGTTTCTTAGTTCTCACAGTCTATAAGTCAGATTTCGAGTTGTGTATCGCTAGCAACACAAAGTCGGGAATTTGCATTTGGAAAAATCCAAAATTAGGGGCTTCTTAGGTGCTAATTAGGTACCAAGTTTAAAAATTAGGTGCTTTAAAATTTTCGCCGCAACGAACTGTTCAAATTTGCGTTGCTAGCAAAACGTCTCGCTAGCAACGCAATGAAGTTATTAGATATACGATAAATATTAATAGCAAGGAATGAAATGCTAATTAGGTGCTGCAAGTATAAACAATAACAAGGCACCCCTAATAAAAATAAAGTCGTTATTCAGAACATAGCAGATGCAAAATTCAGATTTCCTGAAAATCAAAATAGAATTTCCTGAAAATCAAAATGAAGTTATTAGATATACGATAAATATTAATAGCAAGGAATGAAACGCTAATTAGGTGCTGCAAGTATAAACAATAACAAGGCACCCCTAATAAAATAAAGTCGTTATTCAGAACATAGCAGATGCAAAATTCAGATTTCCTGAAAATCAAAATAGAATCAAAATTGCTTTCAGAGAAAGTCCAAATTAGGGGCTTTTTAGGTGCTAATTAAGTACCAAGTTTAAAAATTAGGTGCTCTAAAATTTTCACCGCTACGAACTCTTGAAATTTGCGTTACTAGCAAAACGCCTCGCTAGCAACGCAATAAAGTTATTAGATATACGATAAATATTAATAGCAAGGAATTAAGTGCTAATTAAGTGCTGAGGGATTTTTTTTATAGGATAAGGGTGACAAACGAGCACACAGTCCACCTGATGGTAAGTGGTTGCTGCGGCCCATAGACATCTACATCTATCTTCGATTACGAATCAAAATGCAGATGCGTTGTCACCCATGAGGACTCAGATGGAATGCCTCGTTTCCAGTAAAAAGAGTCTCCGGTTCTCTACACTCACTATACGAAACACAGCAGCATGAAGCTACTATTTGACGCTGGTATTCTGTGAGAGCGTGGTCCTTCCCCGGTCGAGCCGACCCATTCGTGCTACAACCATATAGCTGCAGCATGGCTCTACCACGTATAAACTATCGAAACCCGATACAGATTAAGATATTATTCTGGGAATTTTAGGGTCCATGACCAGCATTATCTTATCATCAGGTATGAACGGCATTTAATGTTCTATATCACTGTCTAAAAATTCAGTGCTAATTAGGTGCTAATTAGGTGCCAAGTCTAAAAATTAGGTGCTTTAAAATTTACCCTCCAACGAACTGTTGAAACTGTTGCTAGCGATACGTTTTACCAGCAACGTAATGAATTTATTAGATGTGCGATAAATATTAATAGCAAGGAATTTAGTGCTAATTAGGTGCTGCATGTATAGGCAATGACAAGGCGCCCCAGATAAAAATAAAGTCCTTATTCAGAAAATTATTCAGCAAAGCAAATGTAAAAATCAGGTGTTTGTGTTTGTGCCATCTAGCGTCTATCGTACTTACCACCTTGAGAGTCCATCGATTTTGATTTGATAAAATTACTAGAACTATAGAACGTTGTAGACGGCACTATTTATTACAAAGCAATTTACTGGAAAGAAAAAATCCTTTCGATTTAGCACATAAAGTTTAGGCTTCACATGTCTAAAAATAAGAATTGTAACATTTATTTAGTTGAAAACTATATTAAATAATATTATAAATCTATAATATTATTTAATATAATTTTCAACCAATTTTTAACCATTTTCAAATATAATCATATTAAATCTGAAAAACAAAAAATGCTGTTCATACCTTATAGTAAGGTAATGGTGGTTTTAAATCCGTTAATTTCCAAAATATTACCGTCATCTGCATGCGACCTCAATAATTTTTCAGCACCTTTGTTTTTTAGCACTTAATTTTTAGGTACTGATAAAGAACAAAAAATGCTGTTCATACATTATGGTAAGGTAATGGTGGTCGTGGACCCCATAATTCCCAGAATAATATCTTAATCTGTATCGGGTTTCGATAATCGCTCAGCACTTAATTAGCACTTAATTCCTTGCTATTAATATTTATCGTATATCTAATAACTTTATTGTGTTGCTAGCGATACGTTTTGCCAGTAACGCAAATTTCAATGGTTCGTTGTGGTGAAAATTTAGGAGCAACAAATTTTTAAACTTAGTACTTAATTAGCAACTAAAAAGCCCCTAATTTGGACTTTTTCTGAAAGCAATTTTGGTTCTATTTTGATTTTCAGGAAATCTGAATTTTGCATCTGCTATGTTCTGAATAACGACTTTATTTTTATTAGGGGCGCCTTATTATTGCGTATACTTGCAACACCTAATTAGCATTTAATTCCTTGCTATTAATATTTATCGTATATCTAATAACTTTATTGCGTTGCTAGCGAGGCGTTATGCTAGCAACGCAAATTTCAACATTTCGTAGCGGTGAAAATTTTAGAGCACCTAATTTTTAAACTTGGTACTTAATTAGCCCCTAAAAGCCCCTAATTTGGACTTTCTCTGAAAGCAATTTTGATTCTATTTTGATTTTCAGGAAATCTGAATTATGCATCTGCTATGTTCTGAATAACGACTTTATTTTTATTAGGGGTGCCTTGTTATTGTTTATACTTGCAGCACCTAATTAGCACTTAATTCCTTGCTATTAATATTTATCGTATACCTATCTAATAACTTCATTGAGTTGCTAGCGAGACGTTTTGCTTGCAACGCAAATTTCAACAGTTCGTTGCGCTAAAAATTTTAAAGCACCTAATTTTTAAACTTGGCACCTAATTAGCACCTAAAAAGCCCCTAATTTTGGATTTTTCCAAATGCAAATTCCCGACTTTGCGTTGCTAGCGATACACAACTCAGATTTCGGAAAGTAAGTACTTATACTAAAAATAAATCTGTCCACCAGATATCCATGACTGTGTTGCTGGCCCATGTTGCCGTCGAAATCCTCCAAAAATTACCACACAGTGTGACACATCAACATATTGTCAACAAGTTTTTGTAAAAAATTATTATAAAGGATAATTTTATAATTCTTGACACTTGAAAAGTATAACCATACGAGTCATTACAAAAGAAATAACGTCAAAATTTGGTATGGCAGAACTTATGGCCATTGAGAAAAAAAATACAAAAAAATATTAACCCGAATAGTACCTACCTATCAAAGATAAGTATTTTTTAAAACTATTTTTTTCCCATATCGCACGCCTCATAACGCGAAGCATTATTAGGTAGTGAATTACTATCGACACGTCAAGGTCAAGCAATTTTGTGATCTAAAAATGCTTCTACCATAACCATATTGCACTTATACGATAATATGAGTACCTCGGCAGCCGCATATCAAATAAAAACTGAAATTATCCATCTAATGTAAGAAAATCATTTACATTGCTACTTAGAAAAAAAATTGTTTGAAAATAATTTTTCATGGACGTCCGGATATTGTTTTTGTATGTAGTCACGATAACTCCTGCAAAAATTGACGTATTGGGACCGGGTTTTTTTTTACTAGCTTTAGAATTACATCAACCGAAACAAAAAACCTCTCCCCCGTTCCCCGTTTGGGAGATACATTCACTGCGCTCACTTACCCACTGCGCTCAGTTACCCCGAACGACTACTTAGATGAGGCTGTATTATGAGTTCCTCAAAGCAGAAGAAACTATTAAATCAAATTTTATGCACGTGAACGTCAACAGATTAATTTATCATGAAAAAACCAAATAGTTAAAAACTCTTATTATTTCTTTCCATAATTACGAAACAGCAGCATGATTAAGGAAAGCAATTTATTTTCAACTTTAGCCATTTAGTGCCACATTATGCCATAAGAAAAAAATACAAAGAAATAATGAAATGTAATAGATGATAATTAGTACATAATATCTAGTGATAGGTAGTATAAATTGGTACCAAATACCTTAAAATATAAGCCCTAGGCAGTCTTGGGAGTGTCAAATTTTCGAGTTTTGTAGGTGTAGGTTCGAACCTTTCGTATGGCCGCATCCAATGGTAGAAGCCTTTGCCGACGTCAATTTTTAAATCCTTGTATTTCAACTGTTTTGGCTTATGGGTATATTTCGAGGGCATCAACCATTTCTGTTGGAATTATTAAATTACGTAGACTTTTGTTGATTTATTATATTTATATTACGTAATTTATTTGGGACTACTGGAAAAGTACTCAATTTATAGTAGTATTTCACTCTATTGTGGTCAAAGTAGGTACTTATACGCTATTGTTGAATAGGAAATCAGGTGAACCGTTAACAAACATCGGAGATATTATAAAAACATTGGGACCTACATTATAAATATTGTCTAATTGATTACCGTCTCCTATATAGTATCAGTTACAAAATAACTTTTTTGTTCGGCTTTATGCATTATACTAGGGATTCACCCCGGTTTCACACGGGTGATTCCTGGATATCAACATCAACGTTATCTAACGGGTATAATTGGTAATCTAAACAATCCAGGGACCCATTCAAGCACACTCGAAAATAAATTCATTAAAATCAGTTAGCAGTTGATTTTTATATGTAAGCATATAGAGATAGAGATAAAGATATGTTTGAAAATCTTTTACTTTTGTCGAGAACTGAAAATTTAGTTTTTCAAGAACCTGACAACCTGTTATCATCATTACATACTAGTAAGGAAAAACAGTCTTTCCTTTTAATTATCCACATAAGTTACCGAGTGTTACCTTACCACCGCGTTATGGTAATCCACCAACTCGATTTATCCCATAGGCGTCGTAAGAGGTAACTATAAAAAAATTCAGAGGGATCTTATGGTTTCTGTTAGGTGGCCGTATAACCATCTCGTATCCACTGGACAAAAATACTCTGATCCTCTATCCGCCCTTCAAGCGCGAACTTACGGCTACTGATGAGAAACGAGAAGAATATCCACATAACAAATGAGATCAGCAAAAAAATAAATAAAGATTTGATCCATGTTTTTTTTTAATAGGAGATTGGGCAAACGAGCATGCGGCTCACCTGATGGTAAATGACTACCGCCGCCCCTGTAGGTACAACTGCAACACCAGAGGAATAGCAGATGCGTTGTCAGCCTTTTAAAAAAGAGCAGGCTCTTTTCTTGAAAGTCTCTAAGTCGTATCGTTCCGGAAAAATCGCTGGTGGTAATCGATTCCACAAGAAAGTTGTACAAGGAAGAAAATATCTTCTAAATCGCACAGTGATGGCCCGCCGATCAGCCAGGTGGTATGGATGGTATCGCAAGTTTTGTCGCGATGTGCGATGGTGAAATTGAGCGGCTGGAATTAGTCCGAACAATTCCTCAGAGCACTCCCCATGGTAAATGGGATAAAATACGCAAAGAGATGCAACATTTCTACGCAGTGCCAGTGAGTCAAGCCGATCGGAAAGGACTCGGTCGTCGACCATTCGAACCGCTCTGCGCTGGATGTGGTCTAGTGGAAGGAGCTGGCACTGGATAGCCCCTGCCCAGAGATGGGAACAGTATTCCATGTGAGGCCGAACCTGCGCCTTGTAAAGTTGCAGGCGGTGTGCCGACATGAAATACTGTCACGTTCTGCTGAGCACGCCAAGCTTTTTAGAGGCCAATTTGGTTTTCTCTTCCAAGTGACCATAGAACTGCACGTCACTCGATATATCAGCGCCGAGGATTCCGATACTGACTAAGGCAACAAGGGGAGTGCCTTGAAACTGAGGAGATACGACAGAAACGTATGACGACGATATTATGTTTGATCCCGGCTAAATCATCTTTTTCATTTATAAAACTAAAGCGGTACGGACGAACTTACAGTCCACCTGATGGGAAATGGCTACTACAGTCCACGAACCTGTAGCCAACATCATACGAAGAAAGCTGCAGCTTGTCACCTCTAAGGACTAAGATATAACGCCTCACAGCCTATAATTATACCGCCTCTCTTTACCGGAAAGCAGCAGTGGTAGTGCAGGCACTCGTACTCTGCGGCAAAAATAGGTAAGAGGCGCTGGTATCATACCCAGACGGAAGACGGACTCTTAAAATTGAGTTCAGTTTCATATTTGGCCATTCAACCTCATCTCAAAAATACACAACATATTACCTATATCAAAAATAAAAAAATGCCTTTAAGGTGAATAAAAATAAAAGGAAACAATAATTTATGAGTTACGACTTATCTATTCAAGCATTGAATGAAACTAGTATTTAGGAGTTATATAGCGTTTAATTGACATTTTTGTTATTTCTAACCAAAGACATTTAAGTAGTAGTAATAGAGCTTACATCAGCAACTAAGTGGTCACGTCTTACTTATGTCCTATAGGATATATTTCGGATTTGTGTCATTTAGTCTTAGTGATATCATCAAGAGCTCAAGATGCATTCGTTTTCTAAATTTAAAAAATATTTTGAAAGGTTGTACATTAAATCCCGATATATTGCAAAAACTGAATGTGATTTAGGTTTATTATCGCAAGTATATTGTTTAATTACACCTAATTTTTAATTTTTATTATTTCTGGTAGATTGTTCTAGAACATTTATCATTATTGTAATAAGTGCCCTCTGTTATCCAGTAACGTCACCAAAGAGTTAGTGATTGACAACGTTTATCGATAAGTGCTATCGATAAAAAAATATAATACAGGATACAGATTTAATCACCTACAATATTTAAGGACGTGAAACAGTATACGATACTGTACCCATACCAATAAACAAACCGGGTGGGCCTGCGTCCGGGGTACACAGCCGTTGGTTGTAACGTGAAATGTCTATGTCAGCTAGTACAACCAGTGCAACCAGTCAATGAGATGGCCTTCTTTTTAAACTTTTAATATAATTCTACAAAACCAGGAAAATTGCAGATGTATTGCCGGCCTTTTAAAAAGGAGTATCTAAGCTCGTTTCTTGAAGGTCCCTAAGTCGTATCGGTCCATAAAAATCGCCGATGGTAAACGATTCCTAAGACAACTCCTAATAAATCGCACGGTAGTGGACCGCCAAGCATCCAAATGATGTGGATGGTAACGTAAGTTTTGTCACGATGTGTGTTGGTGAAACTGAAATTTGGTGGATGGAAATAATCTGAACAATTCCTCAGAGCACTCTCGTCGTAAATACGTTAGAAAATTCAAAGGGACGCAATTTTCTACACAGCGCCAGTGAATCGAGCCAATCAAAGAGAACTCGGTCGTCGACGATTCGAGCCGCTCTGCTCTCTTTGCGGTCAAGTGGAAGGAGCTCGCACTGGGGAGCCCCGGCCAAGAGTTGGGAACAGAATACCATGTGAGGCCGAAACTGCGCTTGTAAAGTTACATACGATATGTAGACATGAAATACTGTCCCGCTCTACGGAGTACGCCAAGATTTTTAGAAGCCAATTGAGCTTTCTCTTCCAAGATATTATGCTTCTGCAGGTCATATGTTGAAGCCAAAGATTCCGCTACTGGCTGCTACAAACAGGGAAGTGCTCTGAAATTGGGGAGATACCCCAATTAACATTACACGTTACATTAACAGGTAACGACTTTTAAGTTCAGTGCTTTTCTAAAATATGTTAGATTTAAAGTGTATTTTTGTAAAAGAAACGAATTTGAAAACATGGAGGCACTCTCTTATTGGATTTGATGTTTCGCGATGTGCCTTCGACGCCGACTGACTTATCATATTTTTCTTATATTGAATATATATATTGTGAGGGAATAGAGTGCACTTGCGCATACATGTATATTATAATTGTATACTGTGCTGATGGGCTAGTCTCCGTTGAGACTGGCCGCTGATACAGAAAGGACACTCAACCCAACAATAAGCCCAATTTTCAACTCAGCCTAACACTCAACTCAACTCGAGACTCAACCGACGCACTGATGATAATCACGAGGAGAGTGTCTGGTTGTCAGTTTGTACATCATTATACTAATGAGTTTAAGTACTTACTTGTTAGGCGGGGCAATTTATATTTTTTTTTAGAAGTTTAAGTCTTAATTTCAGCATTCATGTGATAATTGATCACAAATATTAAATATATTACGTACTAACTGTTCCCCGCGACTACGCCCGCGTGTTATTTGGGGTATTAATTTTTTTGCGCGGAACCCTAATTCTTTTTCTAAAATAAAAGTAACCTAAGTTACGGCTTGTGACATCAGCCATCTGCCAGTGAAAATCCCGTCAAAATCGGTCCATCCGTTGCGGAGATTAGCCGGAACAAACAGACAGATAGACGGACAGACAGACAGACAGACAAAAACTTTAAAGATTGGATTTTTGTTATTAGTCTCGTATATACTTTCATCTGCATTTAGTAAAAAGCTGTAATTTTAACATTACAAACAGACGCTTCAATTTTATTTATTTGCATAGATAAATAGATTATTTGAGTTTGTTAAAGCAGTAGGCCTTATTATCCTACCATAGTAAAATGAGGCCTACTAGCAAGGTTTTTAGAAATGTCTAATTTTGTTTTTCTTTATGGCAAATGTTACAATTATTCGTTCTTACTTTATAGAATCTGTACTAACCTAATGATTTTTATTGAAATCTGTGGACCAAATTAGATATTTCTGACTTTATTTTCGATTTTCCCTTAGCTAGTTGTAGTTAAAGCAGTAGGCCTTATTATCCTGCCATAGTAAAATGAGGCCTACTAGCAAAGTTTTTAGAAATGTCTAATTTTGTTTTTCTTTATGGCAAATGTTACAATTATTCGTTCGTTCCTACTTTATAGAATCTGTACTAACTTAATGATTTTTATTAAAATCTGTGGACCAAATTAGATATTTCTGATTTTATTTTCGATTTTCCCTTAGCTAGGCTTTATTACCCGTAAGCAACTTATATGTAATCTATCGAAAAATTGCCGCACCATCAAAATAACAAAATAATATAAGGACAAAATACTAAATACGGTAACCAAAATATGGGTTGTATAAAAAATATATAGGTTAGAATAAAAAATAATTAAATTAATGGATGTGAAGGCACATTGGGACACAGTGATAATTAATCAAACTGAAAGTGATGGTATAATAAAAAATATAAAATTCCCAAAATTATATTTCAAATTTCGTTTCTATGGGAATTAAAATGGCGACAATTTGTTAAACAGCCTAAACGGTATTTTGAAGATCTTATAGTCATAGTAGCTGTACTATGTTTGTTATGGATTATGTCATGCAGCCATTGGTTTTTAATCAGTTCTCTAATACAATATTTTTATTACATATACCTAGCAGTTTTTTCAACATACCTAACATATAATTCTCTATAGAGATACTAATATAAGATAAAAAAAAACCTTGTATTGAAAACAATGTTGGATAAATTTAATTTGGATTTAATACGATCTTTTAACTGCATCAAATCTTTTTCTTTTTTTCGCTTTGTTGACTAGCACAATATAAACACGAAACACATGCAAAATGGCGATATTCTGTCACTTGTACAAATTTAAATTGTACTATGGCTGTTGTTTTTTTTAGTTTTATATTACTCTCATAGACAGAAGTCATAAAACTACTGTATTTAAAAAGTAAGTACAATGACACTATAAGAATAAGTTTTAGAAGAGAGTTTGCATACACCATTGTTCAGAAATAAGATTTTAGTGATACTATGACACTTAGAGCTGTATAAGCAACGGACAGCATGCCAAAAACATCTTCTATACAACTTTGATGATAAAATCAGATTGAAGTGTTACAAAATACTTAAAGTTATTTATTAGAGTTTACATACATATATTCTGATTAAGAACCCTAAGTTTAGTTATATCCCATAATACAGACTTTATGCGGTTTGAGCTATACTTATATAATAACTTATAAACCACTCTTATAAGGATACAACCTCTTTTCAACACTCTTATAAGTGGTAGAGCCATGCTGCAGCTATATTAATAGTATAGTTGTACCACGAATGGTTCGGCACGACCGGGGAAAGACCACGCTCTCACAGAATACCAGCGTGAAATAGCAGCTTAATGCTGCTGTCAAAGATGTTTTATAGGTCCAGATACCGTGTACGCGCGCCTAAAACGCTTCCATTTCAAAGGCGCCAATATTGGCGTATTCGTTCGATCGTTCCGCCATTACGCCAGCGATGATCGCTGTGAACATACGTCACGCACCGGTGTTTTTAATTTCGCAAAATGACTGTTTGTGCTGTGAAATAATTTAAAAATTACTCTTGGAAAAAAGATAAGGATAAGAACATCACTTTTCATAAGTAACTATACAATTTTATGGTGTATTTCTTTGTAAAAGAATACGAAAGCTAAATATATAAGTATATAAGTAATAATACTGCGCAATAATATTCGAGTGTTGCCTAGTCTATGAAATGTTTTTACTATTTTTTAATGTCATGATCAACCACAAAGGTTATCTGTATAGGGGTTTTAAACAGTCTAATTTTACAGAATTTACCCAACCTATAGAGTTAAACCGTTTTAAGGGTTAGGGTTGAACTACATCTGACAGTATGAAATTGCACTTTCCTGTGCTTCTATCCTTTTTGGTCACTCAGAACCGGTATAGTTCCACCCTCAAAAAGCCGATTGTAAACCGGTTTTAAAAGTTTATCTATCATTCTTGATAATTCATACTAATGTAATGTAAATATTATAAATGTGAAAGTGTGATTTTTTTAGTTTGTTTGTTTTTGTCCTTCCTTCACGCAGCAACGGAACGGAGAAATTTAAAAAATTAAACATTTTGCTATCTCTTGGCTGAAGTTTACGCTTAACCCAACTTATTTTTTTTCGTCATTTTACTTAGGATTGAAAAATAATTTAATGTCTTCGTAAAAAGCGGCAATATTTTGTGTTCTACAGTACAAAAGTGTAGTACTCTGTATATATTTAGTAATAATAGATTATAAATATATGTTACATACATAAATATCTACTGTGCTTTTTTATTTATTTTAACTGTTACATTAATTATAGGTTTTATTACATATCTTCAATATTTTAGTGCGATGTTCGTACCTACATAAAACACACATAAGCAACCATATCCCCATACACACACACACACACACACACACACAAATGCACACGCCACGCACACACATTTTATACTCTTAGAATCAATAGGTACGTCAATAGGAATGAAATATAATATCTCCCACATTTTTTGGGTAATCTATTCGCACTGTTATTACAGAAGTCATGCACATTAACGCAGCCATGGTGCGTAAGATATGCGCGTCACGTGGTACTCGCGCACACATGAATCAAAGACTGTCTTCACTATGAACGTTGCGGTGTGTTAGCAACACGGTATCTGGACCTATAAAACATCTTTGGCTGCTGTGTTTCGTATGGTGAGTGTAGAGAACCGGAGACCCATTTTACTGGAAAAGAGGCATTCTATCTTAGTCCTCACGGCTGACAACGCATCTGTATTTTAATTCGCAAACAAAGATTGATGTAGATGTCTATGGGCCACAGCAACCACTTACCATCAGGTGGACTGTGTGCTCGTTTGTCACCCTTATTCTATAAAAAAAATATTATACCCTACTCTAATTTCTATGTTGGCTAGTATATACAAGCTCATATCGCTTATGTACTGCTTGTGTGGGAGCTGCAAAGTATGTACTAAAAACGTCGGGAATATAAAAGTAAATTAGGTAAGTGCGATAAAATTCGTAAAAACTAGTTTCATTCAATCAGAAGTTTTCGCATAAATATAAGAATTAAGCAGATAAAAATCTAACCTCAGTTTCTGTCAGTTGAATAGGAGTTAGGAAAGAGAGTAAGCACCGGTAATCACCAAAAGTATCGTATTCGTTAATAGTGCACCAAGGTTGCTTCTGGTAGTGATCTTTATATTGTTCAACAAGGTCACGATGTACTAATTCTGAACATGATACATCCCTGCAGTAAAAATAAGAGTATATGTTTATTTGTGTTTTACATTTCGTAAATATCTAAAACATCTATTAAAACTAACCGATTGAATACGAAAAATCGTAACATTTTCGGATCAAATATTTCTTTATACGTTCCTCGAACTGGCGCATTTTTGTCGCTAATTACACTGGAATTTTCAGCATGAGAATGAGTCGCATCGTTGGTTTGATTTTCGTCTTTTTTATTCAGTTCATCTACTAGTTTAATCGTACCTTCCTCGTCTATTACAATCTTTTTATAAAAAGAATCATTCATAGACAGCCAAGTTCGATCTTTGCTGTTGTTTTTAGTATTATTTATTTTAACTCTACAATTTGTAGAGGACTCACACGGGGAACATGCATCAAATTTTATATCTAAATATTCACCATCAAATGCTGCAGATGTTGATTCATCTAGTGAAAATGCATATTGATTTGTATTATCAATTGATAAGCTAGTTTTGTTTGGAGATTCTATTGTAATTTTTTCACTTGCTTTGTCGATAGTAATAGTTGCGAAATTAGTATGTTCTATTATATATATTACTTGAACAGATACATAGCCATCAGTTCTATTCTCACTTTTTCTTTTGTCAACTTTACTCGATTTATTACTATTTAAACTGTTGGATGTGCTTGTACTCGTGAAACTCTTACCTGATAACCAATCTTTCGATTTTAAATCTGATCCAAAGACATTAGTGTTAAACAAACAATGATCGGATTCTGACCAGTCTGGATAAATTTCCTCATTTTCAATAAAACAAGTAGTTGTAATTTTTGTGTCATCAGGGAAAGATATAACCAAAACCCCGTCTTGATTTAAAAGCATTTTAGTACCGTCCACACGCCTTGATAAGACTTCTCCTAAATAATAGTCTGTGGCGTTTCTTACCAATAGCTTTTCTGTTGCAATAAGACTGTCACTTACCCACGTGTGTTTTATTCCACTACTATCGATAGTTTCAAAATCCTCTATAAATAAGTCATAAATCAATTGTTCCTTTTCAGGCAATATTTCATTATGATCTATGGAGTTTTTGGATGACTTTGAAGATCTGTTAAGCTTAACCTTACTTTTATCTTTCCTTTTATTGCCTTTATCCGAACTTATGGTACTACGACTATCGTCTATAATATTTGGATAAACAAGTCTCTTTCCATATTTTGTAATTTTATGACACGTCCCATCCGGTCGAAACACTTTTATAATGCCCGATTTTTTAAATACAATAACTTCTCCATTCGAACTGATACATCGCATATCTTCATCAGAATGTGCTTTTGAACTAACAAAAAACTGCTTAATATGACTGATAGCTTGTGAATTGTTTTCATGTACACTCTCTATAATGAGCCCATTAGGCCAAGTGATTGAAAAAGAATAAAATATTAATTCGTTAAAATATGCATTCATACCACTGTTTTTACTCATTTTTGTATTACTAAGGCTTTCTTTTAGCTCGGGTTTTATGAAAGAAGAATTATCAAAAGTTGGTATTTTATACAAATTTTTTCTAACATAAATTAAAACCTGGTCCTTGCTTATAATCCGAAAAGATTCAGAAGTATTACTACATTGTGATTGAGTTACATCTCCTAAAGATTTATGCATCAGAAATTCATTATTACAATTACCGGAAATAATTTTTAAAATTAAATGCTCCATATTCACAGGTATAGTTATCGTATAGTTACTAAACACCTTTGTTCCGTCCTTAGAAAAGTAAGCCGAATCTTTACCAAAAATTTCAACTCTTCTATCGCCTAAATTATATCCAGAGAAAGGTTTAACGTTAGTTTGATTATCACTTGCAACATCTAAATTGCTGTCTCCGACGGTCTCCTTCACTTTTTTTTTACTATCTTGCGCCAAGGTTTTTTCAGGCCTACTACTTTTTCTGTCTGCTGCTGTAGATCTAGTCGATAAACTATTATTTTTTATTGAGAACTCATTACTATCTATATCTTCATTAGAGAGATAATCAATATCTGTTCTCTCATGGTACTTAATAGAGCCTTTAATTAATAACTCTGACTCTAATGCAAAATTTTCCACGCAGGATTTCGAAGTAACTTGTTCCATGGATTCATTACATTCTAACTTAATCTTTAGGGCAATGCTGTCGTCGTGAATTTTTTCTTCGTCTTGAATCCATCTAAACTGTTCTTCAAGAACGAAATCAAAAAAATCTTGTAAACACACAGGTGTAACTAAATGGCAACGCCATTCGTCATATAAAATACCGTCACTGTCATGATTATTATAAAACATAAACACAAAATTGTCTGTTACATCGCAATATTTGTAATTTAAGCAGTTAAATTTTGTAAAAGCTTCATGCAATACTAGCAAAGCACTAGTGTCAGAGAAATCTTCAAAATAATCATAATCATCTACTAAATGCTCCAGCGGTTTATTATTTAATATTTCAGTGGCTGAAATAAGTTCACTTAAATCAGGACAGTTAAAGAGCAATTCAACGTTTTGAATTTCCGAATCACTTCTATTAGAAAATACCTTAGAATAACTCTCACTTCTTACCAATGTTGGACATGGAGGTGAACTTGTGCTACTAGTCCAAAATAAAGAAGGACTCTTTGGTATCGGTTCAGCTAGAATGCTTCGCTTTAAATACATTCTCTTAAACTCGGGTAAAGTGGTCGAGGGAATATGTTGCTCTTTTAACGAACTTCTATTATCGTATAATTTTCGAAAAGATAGTATATGAATAAGTCTATTTAACATTGAATCATTAACGTTGTCTCTGTCGAAACATGAAAGAAGAGCATCTAAATGAAAATTCAGCTTTGCTTTTGAGTTGTCTGAAGGATACGTCTGATTTTTCCATAAATTACAGAACGGCATATGAACCAGTGAAGACCGAACAATATCTTCTAGATCTATATTTTCTAAGTGAAATGTTGTACATTTGACACAATCACCATATTTTATCATTACTGGCTCTTTGAAATTGTCATATTCTTCTCCGCATGTTACTCGATATTTCTTTTTATTAAAACTATGTTTGGATAATATCTTAAATACTTCCATAGTAAGAGTTTCTGCCATTTCACAATTATCCTGGTTTTTAATTCTGGACTGTATTAATGTTGAAATAGTAGATAAAGAAGATCTACTGCTAATTTGATTATTGGGGTGACTGACACAAACTGTTTGTAACATGCTTTGTAAAATAAAAAATATACTAACACATTCTAACGGAATTTTGTCCATGTAGTGGTAGTAGTATTTTAAAATGTATTCATTTTTGCTCTCAGTTGGTATATATTTTATATCCATGCTGTCTAAATAATGGATGTGTTGTCTAGTTAAGTCTTGTATATCATACATGAGATAACTCATGTCATCGTAGATTTTTTCAGAACTACTAGACAGAGTCTCGTTATTACGATATGGTGGAGTAAACACTATAAATGCTATATTTTTATAAAGATCAGCTGAAGATTTACTCAAGCGTAACTGTTGCAATGTTTCCCAAAATACACATGATTTTTCGATCATTAGTTGGGTAGCGCTGTGTCCTCTTTTCGGCCCTGCAAACAAACCTGATGATATTTCATTGTATACCGGATCTATTTTGATTTGGACTATAGCCGTCACCGCTACCCCTATTTTCATAAGATTTTCTACAAGATATGCTTCTATGAATCCTGTAATTGCTACATAAAGATTAGGTCCATCAAGTGGATAGTCATCAACATAAATTTTATCTCTCCATTCCTCTCCTCTCGTGCGAAGTAACGTGCCGTATTTTTTTCCTTCGTCTGTGTGTGCCGATGGGTGTACAGGCTCACTTTCACTTTTCTTCTCCTTGGACTTAGTTGGAGAAGACTGTACTGTTTCATTTGGAGTAACGCCCTGACCTGAGATGTTGTTCTTCACCTCAGCTCGATCAATCATTGTAAAAGATTCTTTTCGCATTCCTTCTTTAACAACCAATTTTTGATGTTGAACAAACATGTATTCTTCTTTCATTTTCAAAATTAGATACTTTATTATAAGCGCTAATACATCAGGAGCAACATCTTTCTTTTCTTTAAGATACATATAACCTTCTTCGAATATTCGCATATTTTCATCCTTAACCTTTTTTTCTCCTCCTAGTTGGTTAATCATAAACATGGTTTCAGACTTACAGATATTTTTAATTACAAATCGTTTTTCTTGCTGGGCATAAGTCTCGAATTTGTTCAAATAGAGTGCCTCTTGCTCGTTACCAACAGCTTCAAAGACAACAACCTTAACTTGCCAATTATCTTCATTTAAAACAGCTTCCTCGATATACGTTCGCCAGTTATTCTCATCATTACGATCTTTGTCTTTTTTAGGAGCCATTTTTTATTCAGATACACCAAAGTTATCGTAATATTTTAGGTATAAGTTGTTGCCAGACAGTTCAACAGGTAAGCCTTATCCAGTATTATATATTATTGCACGAAGGTCTTAAAATTAGTCTATATTTTTATGCAATGGAAATAAGGGAATATATGAGATGACGATGTCACTTGATTGTCATCCTCGGTGCTTGAGAGCAAAGAGTATATAATCACAACGTTTTAATAATACATTCCTTGGTTGCCAGCCGCCGAAACTAGTTGCAGTAGGTAGTGATTATACACTCTTTGCCTTGTTGCCTGAAAACAGTAAACTTTAAATAATCCAGGAAATGAAGCATTTTGGCTCGCAATTTTTTCGTCCACCATGCATTTACTTGAAATTTTCACAGAAGATAGGGAATAGCTCAAGGATCATTGTCCGTATCATGCCGCTGTACGCTAGAGCCTTGGGGGTGGTTGCCACCCCATCTCGGGAGTGGAATTTTTTTATTACATTTTAACTATAGGAATCGACGGAAAAAGAAATTCTAAGAAAAAAATGTTTTATGCGTTTTTTTTCGTAAAACTAATATTTTTTGAGTTATTCAAAGTTGAAGGTAACAGTTTTTTAACAAAAAATCGTCTTTTTTAAATAGTTTTTTGCGAATAACTCTAAAAATATCCATTTTATCAAAAAAAGTGTAGAGCCAAATTGTAGCTTTTAAAAAAACAAAAACAATGCTTTATTTAATAATTTTTCTACGACAAATACCTACGAACTGAGACAGCAAATTAATGCTTAGCTTTTTTCGTCATATTATGCATAAATTGGAAGATTTAAAGCGAAATAAGGAGAAAATTTTGCATTATTCGAAGAAAGCTCATAGAATCTTTTTTGAAGTATTTAATTTGAGCTTTCAAACAAAAACAAAAAGAATGTCTCTAGCATGAAAATTGACCGACTTATGATCAAAATAAGATCGGTACCCGCTTTTTTCAACGAAAAAAATCTGTGAAAACAACCCCCAAAGTACCCCCTAATTAAAATTGATCGCCACCCTTCTGTGATTCTCTTTATATATGTAGGTACTATTAATACACCCACGAAGTTTGACCAATTTAAAATGCCTACTTTTAGAAAAATTGGAGTTGAAAGAGAAAACGTTTTTTTTCGTGTTTTTAACCCTTTTCATAAAAATATCTCCCAAAATACAAAGATACGAAAAAAACGATATAGTACTAAATTGAAGCTTTTTTAATGACAAAAATTTCCCTATGTGCAATTTTTTGTACAGTGAATATTCGGCGAGATATAGCCGTTTAACACCTACATTTACGATCGAACATCACCTTATTCAAGCCCTTTAAACTCTCTCCATTTAAAAATTAAGGGATCTTAAGTAATTTAATTTACATAGTTGTATAGCTCCTGAAAAGCCCTACAAAATCGTTTCAGAAAAAAAAATTCTATCGCCTAAAATGAAGGAGCTATGCTTAAAAAACCGATCAATGTTTATTTTCGAAAAATTCACGCCCTGGAGCGTAGTAATCTACATAACCGGTATATTCGGTCGTTATACGTTATATGTTCCACTTTTTCGATTCTTATTGGAAGACAGGGAACAAGAAACATTTGCTCACGTGTATTGCATGCGTGTATGAGTGTAGATATATATCGTTGATTTCTCACCAGTGTATTCTAAAGTTCGAAGTAGCACGTGCTTTAACAATTTCAATGTTTTCAAGGGTAGTTTTTAACAAGGGTAGGTTAAAAGATAATTGTATCCTAAAGCATGAAACAATCATTATTTAACTATTTTTACCCATATTTAGGTAATTAATGTTATTTTATAATTTTTGACAATAAGGGGTAGTTTTCACCCCTAAAAAACAAAAAGCGTACAACGGCACAATATAGAAAATGAACTAGAGGGTGAAATAAGCCAAATCCCAAATTTTTGTACAAATCGGTGCTGGACGAAAAGATTGCGAGGTTTTACCATTTTTTTAGCTTCATTTCCTGGACTAAAAGATAATATGAAAGGATAAAAGGTAGGCTATACGTTTTAGGAACGATATGTATCTGCTTCGACATTTCCGGGTACATAAGCTAAAAAAATAATACGAATTAGAATGAATTAGTAATCTTTACAGAAAGCCTTTTAAATTAAGTACTTACATATTATTTATAGCACTGGGGCAAACGAACATACAGCTCACCTGATGATTAATGTTGCAGGTGCGATGCCAGCCTTCTAAAAAGATGTAAGCTCGTTTCTTGAAGGTAAACGATTCCACAAAGAAGTCGTACGAAGAAGAAAACTTCTAGTAAATCGCACAGTGGTGGACCGCCAAACATTCCGATGGTGCGGATGGCATCATAAATTTTATCGCGATTTGCGTTGGCGATTTTGTCGGCGAAATTTGGCGGATGGAATTAATCCGAACACTTCCTCAGAGATATACAGTTGAATTTATAATGAGGCCTCCCATTTTAGTCCCCAGGGGTGACAACGCATCTGTATTTTAATTCCTATTTGATTATAAGTGTCTATAATCAAATTGGTGGGCCAAAGCACTCACTTTTTATCAGGTGTAGGCTGTACTTGTTCGTCACTCTTACTTCTATTAAAAAGCACGTATTTACCTATATCGGTTAAAGTTTATTTCATTTAATAATGTTTCTAATTTTTTTTTAAATACTGCTTCTTACATGCCAGGTAGAGAATACATCTTTGAAAATCTTTAATGTAATACCAGGCTAAAGAGTATATAAAACACTCCTACTCAGCAAGAAAGGAGCACCTGTGTTTATGCACACATTCGTGTACTATAACACTGTCTGCGCAGATGTCTAGTTTTCGCTGAGGCTAGCCGCCGTAACCATCCTTCGGTCTTAGGACATTATTATTTTAGCTGCCACGTTTATCATTATAATGCATGTAGCATCCGCCTTTGTATGTTTTTCCTATTTGTTTGCAACCGCGTAATAGTGACGCTTAAAATATTCATCACACCAGATCGTTAAGGCCACTAAGGAAAAGGCCAGGACGACATCACGACTTCTAATAGGCATCGGTAAACTATAACTTTAATGACAGTATACAAAGAGACTTGACCGGCAACAGTATGCAGTGACAAAATTGCAAATATCTGGTACTGTGTTTGGGCTCATTAACCTCTCCAATGTAGCAATTTCAATTGTTACTAGGTGGTAAGCCTTCTTTTCCTTAGATGTCCGTTTGGGTACGTACTCTCCCCTAAACTATTTCAATAAAGCGGAATTTTTTTTCTTTGTTAAATGTTTTTGGTAGTAAAACATTGATCTTTACTCCATCTAAAAATTTCCGCGATACCATATGCCTATTTATTATACATAGCCACAATAAGCTACTATGTGACAAAAAAAATTGAAAAAAAAAAAGTGATTTATGAGCGTTATTATTAGGTATGGCATATTAATCCAAACGAACAAAAGTTCCTTTATCATCAAGACCATTTTATGATAAACTTTGCTCCTAAGAGCATGATATTTAGTTATATGTCGTATAGTTTAAGAGATAATGAAAAATTTAAATATTCCAAGACACCGCTCGGCGCATGAACGATTGATAAACCTAGCCGACCGATGAGATCCGACAGAAACAATAGATTTTAATACCAAAAATCAATCAATGATTTTTATTATACGCGGGTGAAACCGCGGGGTACAGCTAATATATGAATATATAGAGACAGTATAATTGCAGGCTGTGAGGCATTTTTAGTAGATATTCGTTGCTTGTAATAAATATGTAATAATACTTGTAATAAACCTTTCAATTTTAACCCAATTTTTGGATACCTTCATTGTTATGTATAAATAAAGGAAAAGTCTGATGAAATCCCAGCTTTTATTATAACAAAACTATATAAGCAATAACACTTATCAATGTAGTTTATTGTACACACAAAATTATTTTTATTTCGGATAAAATACACTGAACAATGCAGTGGTGGTAATTAACATATTTTAGTAGAGTCCTATAAAACACAATTCATATCGTATTATTATGTTAAAGTTAAATAAATATTTAACAAATATGTATAAAACTTTACGAGTAATGTGGGTCTATGGGTCACACATCAGGTAATAATTTTTCAATCCATTCTTTGATCAAATCCATGCCACGCTTATTGATTGAATGTCCCAATCTCTCCATAATATGAAATTCACCAGAAACACCTAGGGATTTCAGTTGATTAAAAGTTTTTTGGCCCCAAGACAAGTCCACCAATTCATCACTATCACCGTGTATTTGCAAAAGAGGCGGCACTGGAAAAGTAAAACATACGTTATATTGTTCCTTCATTTAACAACCTTGTAGGTAGAGGCGGTGTAAAAATATCAACTACCCTATATATATCCCGTGGGCGTCGTAAGAGGCAACATGAGATAACAAACCATCTCCTGCTGCCCACAGCACCGTCTTTCTAATAACAACTAGAAAAATAAAAAACTGCGGATGCCGACCACCTGACAACTATGGCAAATATGAAGGATGTTTATGAGAAACGACATAATAAAACAGACGCCAGTCCGTGGCGGCCCCGTTGTTCCTGGCACTCATGGCAACGGCCGCTCAGAGGGTATCTAAGAATCTCCAGTGATGGTTCAGTTACCACCTTTGACAACGCACCCTGGCAACATTCACCTCATGGCTCTAGGATCCTAGAGCTAGTGAAAATATAGACAAATTGCGCTAGGATATTGTAAGATTATTTCAGATCCGAAGAAAGCAGGAGGATGCAGTTACCGACCATCTGTCCCAGTGTCGTATCGTCCAAAAGTCTCTCATTAACAACGTACTGAAAGTTTTACATTCAGAATCACCGAACAGTATTCGTTGAAGGTGAAGGACCCGTATTACGCATCATCTTCGATACATCACGATGAGGCGGTGAAAGTGATATGTGAGAATATCTCTAGAGCCTACTCTTCCTGCTAAGCTGACTATACCAGGTAGATGGAGTCATCAACGCAAAACTATGCACAAGAGAAAACGGCGCGTTGAAGACAGGAAATTTTTGGAATAGGGCATCTCATGACCCATGGTCAATAGCTGGTCGACTTCATGGACAAGGAGGACTCTTTATGATGAAGTCTTTCTTCGAGAAGTAGCCCACAGAAAGGGAACCTGGTCTAGTACCGAAGGTTCAACGCAAAGTTAGATTGCCTTCATTATGACGAGTAGATGATAACTGTTCAGCATTACGCTCGAAGTTGTTGACGAGACATTATAGAAACTCGGACAAATCGTCTGAGTAGATAAGTCAGACTTTGGTTTATACATCGAAAGACGGATACAACTCGTATGGGTACCACAAAACATGCTAACAAGCGTGTGCATCCACTGCGTTGACCTTGAGTTTTTCTGCATGATAGAAACGAGGGTATCCGGACAACCAGAATAAGCTACATAGCCCGACGGATGATTAAGCTAAAGTGGCAATGGGAAGGCTATCGCTCGATTAACCAACAACCGATGGGAAAGAGTAGTGACGAACAGATAGGATATCCAGGAAGTCGATGGATATGGGTCGCTCAGGATCGTGAACCCTTGACGATGGACGTTCCCGTACCAGGAACGGGTCCTTTCGAGGTTGTGTAAGGGGTTTCGAGACACCTTGACAGCACTGCCATGGTGTTGGGGGCAGCAAGTACTGCCCCCGGGACGTGCTTTCAATAAAGCAGTGGCAGTGGGGCACGGTTGTGTTCCAAACAGAGATTACAGAACCCCTCACATGCGCTGATGACCACGGTGGGGTATTAGCCGATAGGAATCCGGTATAACCTTTCCGATGTCCCCGCAGCTGAAGATATCCATGAGGACTTCCCTACAATAAAAAAGGGCCGCCCTTTACTAAATAAAGTGACAACTGGTAAGATATAATGCAGGAAGTCGATGGATGCAGTTGGCTCAGAGTCATGCTTTGTGTAATTATTTGATGAAGGCCTATGTTAAGCAGTAGACTTGTGATAAGTGCTACAATAATAATGATAATGGTGAACTTTACAAAAATAAAAGGAGGTTATACTAAATAGTGGGACGTATTAAGATGTAACTTTGTATACAGAGGAACTCTAAGTATTTTTAATTTTCGCTCATTGAACTAAAAATTACTCTTTACTTACATCGTTTCCCACTAATGTTGCGAAGGTCTTGATAGACAACGGAATTGTTGTTTAGGAAAGAACTGAAGGCAAACACGCCGGCCAAGTTGCGTTCCCATTTACAACCTGTATAAAATGAAAGTGCTCCTCCCATAGAAAATCCACCTGCAATTCCCGTTCAGAATTATTTGTTAGATCACAAATACAAGTATAAAATTAATATTTTCACCTCTAATGATTTTTTTAAAGTTTATTATTTCTAGTTTGCTTTTTTAATAACTGCAACGAATCTTGGACGTCTACCATATATCATCTATGTGTAAGAGGCAGCATCTTCCAACTCAACCCGCCTGCCAAGCTCTTCTGCCACAACCAACTATCACTATCATACATTAAGGTAGGGACTAAAACAACATTGTAAATTTCCATAAGTGCCTCTTTTGACACATTCTTACTTTCCACGATAGACCTCATTTACTCACTTAACGAGATTTGAAACGGACACCTTTGCGTGAGGGTCTTTAGTAGTATAACCCTCATTAAACAATTTTTGTTTGATTAGAATTATAAACTTTTTTATAGTAAATGTTTCCTAATAGAGATATCACTTTCCCTGTCACTACAGCATACCACAAGTCTACTACTGAACGTAGACCTCTCCCATAGATTCCCACAAAGTAGGGTCTTGAGCGCCGTGCATCCATCGACTGTCCGCGTGTTTCATCAGGTCGTCACTCCGTCTCGTGAGAAGCGGTCTATCATTGAATTTTCCAGTATGAGATTGCTATTCGGGGTAAAATTAAAAATTTCTCTGCGAGATAAAATCCATAATGAGGATATCCGCAGAAAAACAAGAGTAACTAAAAACTGGCTATTATAGCTGAGGCACCAATGGGGAAGAAAGGTTCTAGAGCGGCAATCTTGTACTGGGACAAGTATTTATATATATTTTATAGAATAATTTAAGTGCTTTATAAAAAAAATCGGGCATACCTACTCTTTATTATTGACTCATTAACATTGACATTAGATTCTATTCCTTTATCAATGTACTTTTACCGTCTCTAATGTTGGCTGTTACTAGAATTTGTTGTCTAACTTGTTTTCCCAGTTTATTCCAAACAAGCTTTCTCGGATTTATGGGGCAGGCCACTGCAAAATTTTGATGATATGCGGCATATTACTTATACGGTACTCTAGATTGCGTAATGATCATCTCCACTTAAAACTACCAGAATTAAACCATCCAAACAGGCAACAGAGGATCCCTGACGTCTATTTATATATTGATTGGTAACCAGCCTGCCAAATTATGACAAATGTTTCTTTTAGTCTATTTTAAGGCAAAGGTCAGTTAATAATACTAACTACTTACTATAAAGCGGTAATACTGCTGGAAATGAAAATTAAAGATACTTACCGACTATGATTCTGTTGACTGGAATACCAGCCTCATTCTCATTTTTAATTAAATTTCTAACTTCCACTTCTATTTTTTCAACTGAATCTAATTTCTCTTGCACATCTTGACTAATGTCAGCCCTGTCAAACCATACATTACTCAGTAACCCACCAGCTGGTGTATATGGCTGTAGAGGAGCTGTTGGATATATCACTTTTATATGTGGAAAAGAAAAGTTCTTAGCCATTAAATGTACCCATTCTCTCATATGTTCTCCATTCGCACCTGTTGGTAACACACAATGTAGCTTTTTGTAATATTCTGTAATATTTAACCCGCAATCATTCGCGCGGGGTGTTGTCAGTACCCCATAGATTTTTATATGCAAATAGCTAAACTTTTAATAAAAAATAAAGTTGACTTCAAAGAACTAAAAAGAATAAAGTAATTTTCACATAAAAGCTTCTGAAGTCAGCGCTAAGACTTAGTATATAAAAGAATTATAAAATTAGTTTTATTTAAATGTGAAGTGTTTGCGTAAATATAAGAAATCATTGTGAACAACAGTTTATGTAAAAGGTTGTCTGGAAAAAATGGTTTACAGAGCAGATAAACGCCTGCTGTAAGCTACAGCAACTCAATATATAATTCACTTTGTTTTTGTTTTAATGTCAAGAATTTATTGATTATTTATTTATGATTTATGAATCGAAATATATATTATTTATGAATCCAAACATTTTATTTCAGCACTCCTCGTAGTAAATGCCATAAAATATTTAAAGGAGGTGCAACATCCCCAGCATTAATGAATAGAGCCCGCCATAATGAAATCGATCGTACACGATTTTGGCCGCTGTAGTGGAAGAAGCTGGCACTGGCGACCACGGCTAATTCCATGTGAGGCCTTGCGCCTTGTAAAGTTGCAAGCGGTGTGCCGGCATGAAATACTGTCCCGCTCTACTGAGTACGCCGAGCTTTTTAGAGGACATTTTAGCCGTCCCTTCCAAGTGATCGCAGAACTGTTCGTCATTTGATATGTCGATGCTGAGAATTTCAATTTCATTCAATTCTTTTAAGCGGTAAACGCTCGAACCTGTCTAACTGGACTAGATTTCGTCACACGAAATCCGAGACGTTGATTAACAAAGCTTCGAATTCAGACACAAGTTTGCTCTGGTAACCGACTACTTATTCCTAAGAAATATTGGCACGGCCGGCGTAAAAAGCTTCACCAGGGCTGTAGTCCATATATGAAATGAAACAGTGTACATGATAGCACGCAGGCTTGTGGAAAACCATCCTTTATAGGCTTGTAATTGAAGTATGCACCGTTTACTACGACCTTGATGTATCACCGTGTACTACGACCCTGATGTATCGCCGTCTACTACGACCTACATAGATGTATAACCATCTACTACGACCTCGATATGTCACCGTCTATTAAGACCTTGATGTATCAAAGACCAAACACTATCGAAAGCAATGGAGTCTACTGTTTTCACCCGTTTATGAGTCAAGTCAACTAGAGGATCACCAGCTGAGCGATCCCGACGGAAACCGTATTGGCGGTCACTAATCATCTGGTGGTCATCAAGGTTCCTCATCAAGATGGCAGTTTATAATGTATTCTATTTATTTTGGAGAACACGACAGTGATGGTGATAGACCTGTGGTTGGAAGAGTCTGCACGGTCGCCTATTTTAGGGATCAAATACACTAAAACTTACAGGACTATGCCTAAGAAGTAGGAGTGGGCGATACAAATCGTATATAGATACAATATCTATATATCAGCACAATATCCAATATCTATATATCGGACGACAAACTATCTATGTATTAGATATTACGATTTTACGATACCGTGTTGATATGAGTCATCGCAGAATATCTAATATCTACTCAAAAACGAAACGTAAAATATCTAAATATATACATTGATTCGGATACCGAACAAACCTCGTTAGAATATATAGCTAAAACAGATATTACGACTACATTACAACGAAAAGGTGATACGCTTACGCTTAATATTATTAATATTAATCCTTATTATTAGTGTCATACGATTTATTACAGAACACATCATTTCTAATATCCAGTCTAAGTAGTATTGCACTGATTTCAAAATAAACGATTATAGATCTTATTATGTATATAATAGGATGTTATTTTTAAACCAATTAATTTTAAATATTTGTAACACGAGCTTTGGGGCTTCAAAAATTGAAGTACCTATTTGTTCAATTTGATTTTTGTGTTCTATTTTTAAATTTTATTTTTTGTTTCGTTCACGTGCATTGCGTTGCGTAATTTGAATGCGGATGACATATTTTATGTAATTTCTCTGCTCACTTTCGTTTGTAATGTACGGCCGACGTATCTTGGCGAGTCTGAATATAGGCTCTGCGAAGTTTAGCGCATGAACACTCGTGAAGAAAACTGTTATTGTCATTTTTTTATATATACCAATGTACAAATAAAATTTCCCTAATACAGTGACCAAAAATATCAAAACACTTTGGAGACATTATAAATTAAAGATTCAATTTTGATACCTCACCTTTCGATAGGGGCAGATTTTATCACAAACACATACAATATTATTTACATTTAATACTTTTTATTTATTTACACTTATTATTATTTAATCACTGTCGCTGAGGGGGGAAATTCCTAACATAAAGTCGTCGGCCCCTTGTGTACCATGTGAGGTACTTGGCATAGGTTCATCTTCGTAATCGTCGCTCTCACTTTCAGACTCACTTTCTGAATCTGAAGCTGTATTAATGATGAATAATTGATCCGTCATTTCGTCAATAATATGGTCGCTCTTCCTATAGTCATGTTCGACCTCTTGCACTTTTCTGCATAAAGCACTCCATTCATTCTGACCCATTAAATTTACTTTTTCTTGTATGAGCTCCATTGTCCGGGTTACGTTCCAGTCGACGTTTTTAGCGGCTACGTGCCCTTTAATGGCAGCCCACACCATCTCGATGGGGTTTAAATCGGGATGATATGGGGGTAAACGAAGGACATCGTGGTTGTTTTGTTTAAACATTTCATCTATTACGTATTTTTTATTCACGTCTTTGTTTTTTTTTATTAGATCGTAAAGTTGTGGTTTACGCATGTCCTTTTCATATGGTATACCCTTTTCTAATAACCACGATTCCATTTTTGCCTTCTTGTCATTAGATGTAGGGGCAGGATCCATTAATTTGTTGTGGTACGGAGCATTATCGATAACCACCACCGAGTTAGGGCTCAAATTTGGAATCAGTTGGGTCCGTAACCATTTCTCATAATTTTTGAAATTCATGTCATCATGATAGTCTCCGGTTTTGCTGCCAGATTTGAACATTAGTAGCGCGTTCGGAACAAACCCTGCTTCTGACCCAGCGTGTACCATCACTATCCGCTGACCTTTTGATATCGGGCGCTTTAGTCCTTGAGCGGAACCATCTGACCACGCCTTACCTTTTGTATGTGATGAGTGGGCATACGACTCGTCAGTGAATACAATTGGTCGCCCTTCGTCCCTGTATTTTTTCATTGCCTTCAAGTACAAGATCCTTTTCAGGCGAATGTCGGTCTTCTCTATAAGAACCATTCTATTGGTTTCGGTCTTTCGCCACTTGAAACCCAAGTTTTTGATAATTGTCTTTAAGCTCGTTTTACCACCTTGAAAATTTATATCCCGTTTGAGTTTCGCTAGTAATTTGTTTATCGTCGGCATTTCTTTTTCAGTTTTGTGGAAGTTGTGTATGCATCTTTTTACTACTCCCTGGTCAAAATTATCCATATCAGTAATAGGTTTTGATCTAGACCTTTTTTTACCAGGCGTGCGGAATACTGAAAGTAAGCCCGAAATATTGCCTTCAGTTGCGATCCGCTGTACTGTGCGTTGGGACACACCAGTTGCGTTAGCAACTCTTAAATAAACTTTATCGACATCTTTTACGCCTTCTTCTTTTTCTTTTTTCATATATTGCGTTAAATCGTAAATAATTTTTCTCGCCTGGCGATTTAACACACTGTTATGTTTTGGTGGCATGTTTGGCGAATAATATAAGTGCTAACTGACACTTGCAAATAAAACAAATAAAACAAATAAAACAAACAAAACAAACTTAACACTATTAATAAAAACAAACAACAATAACAACGAAAACTTTTGTAACCGACTGTGCTCAAGACAGAGATAGCGACACGAACACGACACCAATGCTAACGTGTGACTGAGAAATATTACCGTGTACCGAGCATTGCCGAATAAGCACGAAGCTTTACGAAGTAACCAGAAAGGGATGTCCAACACGCGTGCCTGAGGGTGTTGTTTAATCGATTTTTATTCAAATCGATTAAAATTAAGACATAAAAATATATTTATTTGCAATTTATAAGGAGGTTCTAAATTTTCTCAAATAGTCGTTACTCAAGAAGACGTTAATAGATAATTGATATTTAAGTACATTATGTCTTTCAGCTGAGAAAATAATATGTTTTTAGTTTTTTTTTTTTATTTAAGTCGAAATCTTGTTTATTATCAACAAAATTCACTATATTTGTAAATCTATTTCGTTTAATATCTTATATAAACAAAAATCAATAACTTCTAAATAAAACTAATCGATTGCGATATTTTATGACTAAAGGGTCGATTGTGTTTACTTATGGTCAATCTCTAGCCTAGACCACCGCCCCCCGTACGTCGCCTCATGCCACCATTTTGTTCCTTAAAAAAGCTATTGCGCAACCTTCTGCGCGAAGGTCGGACTCGCCAAGATACGTCGGCCGTATTGTAATTCGGTTTCGAAATTTAAATTTTATTTTGATAATTTTTTCGTATTGTGTATAGGTACCTATATGGTTTCTTAAGTTTGAACTGTTTTTGTGTATTAAAAGTTTAAAAGTAGTGTAACATAAAATATTATATAGATGCATAGATATTAGGTAGATAGTGTACATTTCTTTTAACAAATTAATTCTAGTTTAGTGTTTGACATTGTGTAGAACTAATTAAACATATTATAACAATATGTCTCGTCCACTTACAAGCATAATATGGAACTATTTTGAGAAATATGACATAGTCGATAAAAAGGCCAAATGTCGCATTTGTTGCGATATTTATAGTTACAAAGGCTCAACAGGCAACCTTAAGGCGCATTTAAAAAAAAAACACTTAGATGCTTTTACGAAAGTAAGTACAGCCCAACGAGAAGCGAAAACATGTCAGCAACAAAGCCATAATATAACATGATAATTTTCAACTACAAGTGTGGCATAAAATATAAAAGTTTAATTTTATAGCAAATAAATGTTACAATCCTTATTTTTAGATATATAGAGCATAAATTTAAGTGTAATAAATTAAAACAATATATTTGGAGTAAGTAAAAAAAATACTTTGCAAACGCGCCATCTACTCCATTAAGTGATTTTATCGAACAAAAATGGATTAACTCCATAGACTAATATAATGATTAACTCTCACGGTGGTACGTATTATAGACGTTAGATGGCATAAACACGACACGATTTAATTTAATTTTCTATTTCATTAATATCTCGCAAACTAAATCTTATTGATATATATTATATGTCACTTTTTATATTATGACATACTTTAAGAATACTTAGATTACATAAATAATACCATTTATTTATAAATCTATATATGGAAATTCGTTCATAAATCGCGTATCACCATGTGATACTGCGTACTGACATCTATTCAGAACGAAGATATCAACAAATATATAGATATTGAAATATATAGATACAAAATCGGATATTCATATCCAATACATAGGTACGATTTGATATAAGGTAAAAGCGATATTACCCATGCCTACTAAGAAGAAAGGTGACGTAAAAGACTTCTTATAACCAATGCCAACTCCGGACCTTTGCACACATAGCAATGAATAAACAGCATATCACAACGGTATATATCCACTGTCATTAAGTGCAGAGTTGGATGCAAAGAGAGCCTAAAAGATCAGCTTTCTTCTTAGCGCCATGAGCCTTGGAGACATCCTCTGTGCAGAGATAGATGAGATCATTATCTGCAATTTTAAGAAAAAAATATTTACGAACAATATTATTATGGGCCCAACTCTGTTTATTTACTTGCAATTGACTTTTTAATTTACTTGCAATTGTATCGACAACATAACCATTGCTCGCAACACCCAAACATTGAACCATCGCATTGTACTACGAATCCACTAACATGCATGCGTTGAACAATGCGCTGGGAAAGATGCCGGTACGAACAAAGGTGTTGATAGTGCAACTATTCGCCACAACTTCGGGCAGAAAAATAAACAGAGGGACTCACAAGAAGAAAGCAATGCACCTTCTTATGGTGTATGAGATTCCTGGATTGCACCACTACACTAGGAAAGTATAATGTATAGGTGGCATAAGATAATCCACTACCCTGTACCGTATATAAATCTGTTGGCAACTGCAGGTGGATTATCTTCATGCATGGCAAGAATAGCAACTATGGCAAGTATATCCTGAGGCAATTTATAGGGGAAGCCTATATTTGGCAGTGGACTTTTGACAGGATGTTATAAATTCCTGAATGGATGAAAGTTATTACACCTATGTATTAATTATCACTTTAGAAACAAATATTAGCTCTTTATTATAACCCCAAAACTATTTGTGTGAAAATGGTCAAATTAATCATTCTAGTTTTTTTTTAACCCAAGTTTCTTCTACCTTCAGTTAAAAAAAAATCCATTTTCATTGTTTGCAGTTGATAAGAGGTCAGGTATATTCATCATTTAAGTATTAGTAAAAAAAATATAATTAAAGTGAAAGAAGTACAAGTGTCAATCTATACATTATAAATATAATTTAAGTGCCTGTCTGCAATAATGAAATAAATGGCTTCCATTAAGCTCATGGGGTTAATGTTATTAAGACATAAATAACCATTTTTAACATTTTTGTCAGTCTGTCTGTCCAAGCTAATCTTTGAAATGGCTGAATTCTGAAAACCGGACAATGAAAGTGTTAATATAGTTCTGCTACAAGTATCTTACTTATGGCCTTTTATCACATGCGGAAAACCACACACAGTCCTACAGACCACATCATGGCGTGCTAAGTGACACTGAGTTTACCCACTATGCTAGCTATAAAAAACCATGTCTCAGTACCATAGAGCATCATTGGCCTATCTAAACTAGATTTGCCAATAACATTGGTCAAAGTTGGACTTCAACACCTAACAATACAATACAAACATTTGTGGTTACATCATAGCCATAGACATGGTCTTTGCCTTCTCATGTTCTAATTAAGATATTCCCATTATGAGACTATTGAAGTCAGTAAACATTAATCTAAATTAGGCAAAACTCAAGGCGATTGATTTCAAAACTTATAATATACTAGCTGGCCAGGCAGACGTCGTACTGCCCTCTCCGACTTTGTCCTATAAAAATCCTTAAATACGCAATAAAAAATATTGAAGGTCACTTAACGGGATAAGAACTATCCTATCTCTCAAGTTGGACCAAACTGCACATAGTGTGCATAATTTCATTGAAATCAGTTCAGTAGTTTAAGAGTTCATCGCGGACAAACAATGTGATACGTAATTTTTATATATAAAGATTTGTATAGAACATAATTCTTACCAGAACCATGAAAGAAAACAACGGTAGCTGTGTGCTTAACACCCGTGTTTTTAGTAAAAGTTAAAGCACTTAATTTAGACATTTTACAACAGAAACCACCGAATGTTATCAATAAAATAAAAGAGTAAGAAATATAACCTCGGACTAAACTAAACATATGCATTATAACTTTAAATCATTATTTATGAAGGCATGCAATGCATGACAAGGAATTTGTACCAAAAGAGCTTCTCGTTAGAGAGTAGTATATTCTTAAAAAAATAAAGAAAAAGGTACTTTTTTACTTTAGCTAAAAAAAACAATTCAAAAAAATCCAAATACAATACAACATGACATGATGTCTTTTTCTTTAGTCGTGAACTCGTACGGCTGTACTTTTGCCAACTATTAAGCTGGCTTTCCACTATGGGATATAAACATAACATAAACACACACGCCTGTCACCCAGAGGGGTAGGCAGAGACTACGGACTTCCATTTGGCGCGATCCTGACACACCTCTCTCGCTTCCTCCACATCCATATACCTACGCATACACGCTCGTCAGTTAAAGGTACTCTTGATTTGGCCCATTTTTAATATATCGCCAATTTGGTCGATAAACTTTCGCCTAGGGCGACCCTTCCCGACTATGCCGTTCACCACTGCAACATAAATTTGCTTTGTCACTCTTTCCTAATTCATTCTTTCTACATGGCCAAACCACCGAAGCATTCCTTTCTTAATCCTGGTCACAACATCATCTTGCAAACCACACTCTTCTCTTATTAAACAATTTCTCACTCTGTCATTCAGATTCATCCCTAACATACTCCTTAATGACCGAATTTCTACAGCATTTATTCTACTCTCGTGCTTCTTCTGCCACAATCAACTTTCACTACCATACATTAAAGTAGGGACTAACACAGCATTATGAATTGCCATACGTGCCTTAGTTGACTCCTCATAATAGCGTGTAGAGCCCCATTCACTCTATTTCCTGCGTTCACTCGTCGTTCTATATCCTTATCATATCTACCATCCCTGCTAAATAAACATCCCAAATATACAAACTCATCCACTTGCTCAATCAACTCCCCTTCTATTCTTATTTCACATAAAGTTTTACTTTCTTCTCTTTCAAAAACCATCACTTTCGTCTTACTTGCGTTCACTTTCATACCCCTTTCTTTCAATGACCAATTCATTAAAGTAACCATCATTTGCAACTCGGCCGCCGACGATGCAAATATGATTTGATCATCGGCGTACAAAAGTCATTTGACGGTTGACTTACCTATTCTCAACCCACATTCTTCAACTTTCAAAGTTTGCAAACAACTGTCCATAAATAGGTTAAACAGCCACGGGGAAGCCACATATCCCTGTCTGACACCTTTATGAATGCCAAACCAGTCCGAGTAGACCCCGTTGATCCTGACACAAGCACTAGAGTCCCTATAAAGAGACCTTAATGCCTGTATCAAGCCAGCGGTCAACCCAAATGAGTTCAGTGTTTGCCATAACACATTCCTGTCCACTCTGTCATAAGCCTTTTCCAAGTCCATGAACGCACAAAAAACTTTCTGGTTTTTGGCCAAAAACTTCTCCGCTATCATGCGCATGGAAAAGACTTGATCCGTACACCCCATCCCCTTTCTAAATCCAGCTTGCACATCCCAAATTTTTCCATCAGTTTCTTCCATAACTCTTTCAATTAACACCTTAGCATACAGTTTACCCACAATGCTAAGCAAGCTGATACCACGGTAGTTTTTACAGTCCTGCTGCGACCCCTTTCCCTTATATTTTGGGACTATAACGGCTTTGCACCAGTCTTCCGGTACCCGCTTCAGTTCCCAACATAAATTAAACAAGGTGTACAGCAGGCCTGCAACCACATCCTCACCAGCCCTTAGCATTTCGAGTGATACTCTATCATATCCGGCTGCCTTACCTGCTTTCATGCTTTTCATTGCTTTCATTATTTCATCTACACTTATCTCCCTACCTCTCTCCATGGGATATGATATAATATATTATATCCCGAAATACTTTTTTTTTATAGGATAGGGTGGCAAACGAGCACACAGTCCACCTGATGGTAAGTTGTTGCTGTGGCCCATAGACATCTACATTTATTCTCGTTTGCGAATCAAAATGCAGATGCGTTGTCACCCGTGAGGACTAAGATGGAATGCCTCTTTTCCAGTAAAATGGATCTCCGGTTCTCTACACTCACCATACGAAACACAGCAGTCTTAAGCTGCTATTTGACGCTGGTATTCTGTGAGAGCGTGGTCCTTCCCCGTGGACCCATTCGTGCTACAACTATACTACTTATTAGTAGCTGCAGCATGTCTCTACCACGTATAAAGAGATATAAATTATATGGATAAATTATATAGATATATTAGATATAAATTATATGCTGCGATTGGCGTTTACACTGTGAGATATATCTTATAACCAGTGTGCGTTCGTCATTGGATTACCCCCTGTACCCCGCAAACTGTTCTGCGGCAGCGCGGAATGGTTTGCGGGGTTACAGGGGGCAAAATATAATATGAAAATATCGCATGGACGATCGAAAAAATATTTATTGTTTGAGTAATATATATTATAGCTCAGTGTAAATGGTTCCATTTAAAGTATGGTGAGCGATATCAATTTATATCTCGAGATGTAATATATATTATATTATATCCCATAGTGAAAAGCGGGCTTTATGAAAACAATTTGTATAACTACCTTAATTTCTGTTCTACCAGTCAAGATACAAACCAAAGAGCATCAAGGATATTGTAAAATCCAATACCTTGGCAGAGGGGAAGAATCAAGCGAGGCGAGTCTATTGGGTTAAATTGTCTAAGTTTCCCTTAATTGGTCTTAAAAAACGTAGTGATTATATACCCTTCAACATACAATTGTATACAATTCTTCCCTCTGCTAAGATACCTATTGGATTTAAAAATCTTGTGCGTTAATAAAAACTGTTTACGGGATCGATTTTAACATTATAAGAATCGTTTCCGCCGATGTAGGTGCTCTTTGAAAAATGCCAATCTGTGCGGTTAGCGTGTGGATAAAGCCAGGCCTGCCTCACTCCGCTCTTTAGGCATGAAAATATACGTACGCCGCCTACGAGATACTAATTCCGTGATGTTGTCACGCACGTGCACGAGCTGACGCGCGCCTTACGTTAATAAAAAAGTATTTTTCTCTTATAAGTAGTTAGGCACTTTTGGTATATATTTTTGAGTTTTTATTCAAGTTTGGCCTCTCAAAAAGCCAAAAGGTACTGCATAGCATACGGATGCCTAAATAACAATAGGAATGTCGACTTTTCATTCTTTACTGTTCCTCAGGATACCAAAAAGGATGTTATTATTATTTACAGTTAGATCTAGATAATTAGGTACTGAATTAGTGACGCCATAGTTACAGTTTTATTATTTGATCAGCGACTCGAACACAGCTTCGAAGTTTTCGGCTTTTTCGCGTATAATGCCAATGACCTTAAAAACTAATCAATATAAGTAGACCTCCCAGTACCAATGGCTGCCTACTAATGCAAGATCAGCATATACAGGTTATTAGCTTAACCCTTGGTCGATAAAAGAAAGAGATTGAAAATAACAGCATTTCTCACTGCCACTCAGTTAAAAAATACAGTCGCATTGAGTACCTGCTCTTTTTTTTGAAGTCGGTTAAAAATGGTAAGTAGATAAATTATCTGAGTTTCAAAGATGTTCATGTTATAATCTTTTTTTTCTCGATGTTGCATATTAACCTTCTTCACATTGAACAATAATGTTCCTTCGGTGTATTCTGCTACCAACTAATATCAAAGGATTCAATTTGTTTAATCACAACACCTAACCCTTTAGTAGGTGCGGCCATAACACAGGCGCGTAACGGGCTAAGTGATACAGACTCTCGCACGCAGACGTATAGTACGTACGAAGGTCGTGTCCGAGGCGTGAAAAGTATTATGAACATTAACGACATCGTAACTAGGTTAAACTCGTAAGCTCGCAAACAGAAAGTGATCCTTCTGTTCTTGTACTATTATTTATTCTGTGATAAAGCAGTCAAATACTTAAAACTTACAAAAAGATGGAGTTACAGTCCTTATGTAATATTATAAATAACAATCGAAAACTTTACCGATTAGGTAATCGAGTACGTAATATTTCATAAAAATCGTAGTGAAACCGTAGTGAGCGGCTTGAATTAATCCGAACAATTCCTCAGAGCACTCCCCGTGATAGATGCGATAAAATACGCAAAGAGATGCAACATCTCTACGCAGTGGCAGTGTATCGAGCCGATCAGAAAGAACTCGGTCGTCGACGATTCGAACAGCTCTGCGCTTGTTGCGGTCAAGTGAAAGTGGAGGAGCTGGCACTGGGGTGCCCCGGCCCAGAGATGAGAACATTATTCCATGTGAGGCCGAACTTGCGCTTTGTAAAGTTGCAAGCGATGTGCCGGCATGAAATACTGTCTCGCTCTGCTGAGCACACCAAGCTTTTTAGAGGCCAATTTGGCCTTCCCTTCCAAGTGACCACGAAACTGCACACTACTTGATATGTCGACGCCAAGGATTTCGATGCTAGCTGAGGCAGCAAGAGGGGTGCCTTGAAACTGAGGAGATACGACAAAGGTGTGCTATTTAGCGGTAAACGCGCAAACTTGTGTCTTCTGAGGATTGAATTGGACTAGATTTAGTCGCCCCCGATCCGAGACTTTGTTAAGCAAAGACTCGACTTCAGACACAAGTTTGTCCCGGTACTCAGCGACGTTTTCCCGAGAAATATTGGCACGGCCGGTATATAAGGCATCACCTGTGCTGTCGTCACATAGCATAGCAATGACTGCTACCAGTTTGCAATATATCATTGATATGCAGGAGAAACAGCGTTTGTGATAGCACGCAGCCTTGTGGAACACTAGCGTTGATAGGCTTGAAATGAGAGAATGCACCGTCTACCATGACTTTGATGCTCCGATCAGCAAGGAAACTGGTGATCCATTTGCACAATTTCTCGGGAAGCCCATAGGACGGAAGCTTCGAAAGAAGCACTTTGTGCCAGACCCG